GACGCCTTGAAGAAAGAAATTCTCGTCGCTGGCACAAACTGATCTGAGTTGAGCTTTCACCTAGAACATTTGATGGTGCTCGCATTGACCTGGACGCGACGGAGGGAGGCACGCACTGGCAAGCGTCCACAGCAGGACGGAGGGGGCGTGCGGGCTGCTACCACACCACACGGAGCAGTTCCTGGACTCGCTCGTGATAGTGGGTGGTGCGCACCAATAAGGGTCCACGCCTAGATGGAGGGGGTGTCGGCCGCCGCCACACTGCGCGGAGCCATTTCCGAACTCACCCGCGACGGTGGGAGGCATGCACCGGCATGCGTCGGCACCTGGACGGAGGGGGTGCCGGCCGCCGCCAGTCTGCGCGGAGCCATTTGCAGACAGCCCACGATGGTGCGAGGCGCGCACCAGCAAGCGTCCACGCCTAGACCGGGCAGGGTGCTGGCCGGCCGCCGCCGCCACAACGGGCAGAGCCTTTCCCGAAGCGGACTCACCCATGATGGCTGGAGGCGCGCAACGACAGGCATCTATTCCTGGACAAAAGGGGCTGCTGGCCACTGCCACACCACGTTGCCGCCACACTAGGACGGCCAATCTAGGCCCTAGAAGCCAAGAAGAGGTGCTTAGTGACGCAACCACGGTGGGTCGCGGTGCGCCACGCTGGGGTAGAGGCGTCGGCCGCCACCAGACGAGGATGACAGATCTAGGTCCAGGGCGTCGGGTCACGATGCCGTGCCCGGAGGGAGGGGCAGATCCAGGCCCGAGGCGCCCACGACGATGCCACCGTACGTGGTAGACCTAGTGAGGACGGAGGGGCGTCGTCTGCCGCCACACGGGGACGGTGGGCCTGAGCCCAAGGAGCCAACAACGAAGAAGCCACACACGGCTGATCAACCTGGGAAGGAAGGCAAAGCAGCGACAAGGTCACCGTGCTAACCACTAGGAACGCGACTGGCAGCTCCCGTGGTAGCGCCGCGGTGGCTAGAGGACACCTGAGCCACAAAGAAGCGCAGGTCACCGCTGACCACCGTATCCAGCCCCAAGGCCATCGAGACATCCCCGAGCTTGACCGCACCACACCGTCTGCATGACCGCACGCTCGAGCCAGCAGCTCCTAGGCCGAATCCGAGAGGGTGGTGCCGGATCAGGGAGCAGGCGCACTAGATCCGGCCTGGGCAGAGGCAAAATTGCCACCAGCTGCTAGAGATAGCCATCGCCAGCCTTCGGCTTCCCAAGCTGCGAGGACCATCCCGAGCCTCTGTGCACGACTGCACCACCCCACCACGCACTATTCCCACTCATCGGCCCTCATTTTGAGAGTCCTTAGTGCACATGTACTTGCGCCGGATCACGCACAAGTACACACAAGATAACAGAAATGGCACACAGATATATGATAAAACACCGAGCTTTTATTGATATCTAGAAATAAGATCTTACAACAGTGGCCCGAAGGGCATAGACATAGGCTTTACACGAGTAGTGGGGTTCCATTGCCATGAAGCGGCATTTTATTACAGTGGAGAGGTAGCTACTACAACGGTATTCTATAGCGTAGTGACACTCTAATCCACAGGCATGCTTGAGCGCTGTCAAAACCCTAGGTACTAAGATTCCTTCCAATGATTCGTAGTTCTCTAATCCCTGTGGTATGGCTCTTCGTCATCATTGCAGTCTTCCTCGGCGTCAAAATCTATGAGTCAACAACAGGTGAGTACAAACGTACTCAGCAAGCCCTAATCATAGGGTTTAGTGGAATGGATGGTGAAGGCTCGGTTGTGTGGTGGATGGTAGGTCATGGTGGAGGCTTGGTTGTGTGATGGTGGAGGCAAAAGTAGTGAGGTGGTATAGTTCAGTTGAATATAAGGTTGGGTCCTGGGGGAGTATTACCATTCTCGCCAGTTCCCAGGTTAGTAATAAGATTCATTAATCACATTAGTCTAGTTTCATTACACATAAAAGTAAATCTAATCATAAGTGACCTCATTCCAGCGGTTGCCCATTCCAAGAACGTTGCTATTCGAATAGATTCAATACGCTCTGCAGAGGGTGTACACTTTTTCCCACATGATAGGCACAATCCTATCCATGATCAGTGGACGGGATAGGCCTAACGAGACCCCGTACCCGAAAGTATGCGACCTTAGATGTCCATATCATTCTACCACGGCTTGTCAGGGGTTGGAAACACACAAGCTTTGGATGATCACACAACATCCAATTTAATAATCCGGATGATACCACATCATCCAGCTAATAACAAGAAAGGGCTCGAACACGACCAACATGAATTTTACATGGAAGATCACTTAGCATCCATGCCAACCGAACCACGAAAGATCACCCAGCATCCATGTCTTCTCCTGATATTCCGCTACCAACACCGGCCTCCTAGTAGAAATTATACTTCTATCTAACGAGGTGTGAGATCAAGTCTACCCATATAGACATGTGGTTGTACGAATATCTGGCTAGGCGAGATGGCCTATGAACCGGTCCTTATGTAACTGAGGCGAGTATCTCCCAATAGGAACTCTCACTAGGTGATCCTGCCAAGGTAATTTATACCACATAAATTACCCCTCACTCACCCCTATCGATATCAAGTTCAAGTTTACAAGATTACGGTTCATAATTATTATCCTCAGATTCATCCATACCATGGAGCTCATAGTGTATCAAAATAATGCTTTAGTATGTCATCAAGATTCACTTAATAATAATTGAGCTCATAATTCATATATTCACAAGGATAAGTAATATTAGTTGAGTTTATTAATTAATTGGTGGAGACAGAGAGCGGAGGGTTTATGGTGGAGGTGGCAAGATGTAGTGGTGGTGGTAGGGGTAGCTAGGACTTGCCTTCGTTGTTGTCTCCTTTTGGATCTTCTACGTAGTCCGGATCCTCGTTCTCTGGTACTCATCGTCTTCTGCCACTCCAATCGGCTTGAGACGCAGTGAGGAGGAGCTTCGAGCTCGGCGCGTATGGCGACGGCGGCGCACCCGACTTGGGGAAAACTATCCTAGCACTCGGGGGAGCGGAGAAGAGGAGGAATGGAGGGGGAGATGGGATGTTCTAGCCAGCTGTGGTGCTGGTAGTGGTGGTGGTGCGGCCGGAGCGCCATTGGCCGGGCCTATTTATAGGCCGGCCATGGTGGCTCCCGGCGGCAAGATCTTTCTTGCGGCCATGGATATTTCTGCCGGCGCGCTCGAGTTTGAAATGGGTAAGATGGTTCGCCACAGTGCATCCTTATCCGCACGCTTGTCTGGGAGCTTAGAGCTCAACCATGGCGCAATGGTCGGCTTCGTCCGTGCCGCCGCGTGGCCATGGCGGTAGAGGGAGGCAAAGAGGGAGAGAGGGGAAGCAATGGGGCCAAGAAGCTTCGGGAGTGCGCCGGTAACCTTATCCATTCGGTGCTGGGCGAGGTGGTGGCGGCGAGATCGAGGGAGCGGCAACAGCGCGGTATTCCCGTCGCTGCGGGAGGTAGACGACAGCGATGAGAAGCGGGGCCCGCATGTCGGCGAGTGAGGGAGAGGGAAAGAGGGAGCAGGGCGCGTGCGCGGGCTGGGCTGTTCGGTCAGCGCTGGCCCAAGCGAGGAAAAGAAGGAGAGGGGAGGAGCGGGCGCGCGCGGGCCTGGCTGGTGCCGCTGGGGCCCAGTGAGGGAGAAGAGAGGGAGGAGGTGGCTGCATCCACGGGCCGAGGGAAGGAGGAGGATTGAGCCCAGTTGCTCTTTTCCTATTTCTAATCCTTTTTCTTTTTCCTAGAATTCATATAGTGTGGTTTTGGATGAGTTTGAATTCAAATTTTAAGATGGTTTTCAAAAAGGCGTGTACCACCATATGCTCAACAAGCCAAACAAGCAACCAAACACCTCAAGTAGTTTCTATTCTAGGTTAATTTGTTTAGGTTAAAATAATTCCTAAGTGGGTTCTATTTATTTATTTTGTGAGGAATTTTTAAAAGGTTCAAATTTTTAGTGATTTTCAAACCAAGGCAAAAAGTCAGGGTGTTACACCACCGCGCCAAGCAGCAGCGCCGCCCCGGCTGCCGAGCGTCATTCTTGCACAGAGCACTCACAACCACCTGGGCGACCTGGCTGAGAGCATCGCTTCCGCCATCCAAGGAAGCTGCGAGGGCCTCCTGGCATCGGCGAGGGGGAGGAAGGGGTGGTGTTGGACGCGGCAGATTTTTCGTCGACTAACCGTCCCTCCACCCTAGTGAAGGGAAGCTGGATAGTGATAGTGAATACAAGGGAAGTGATCCAGGAAGGGCTATCGTGAACACCCACTTGCGTGTGGGGAAGACAATTATTTTTATGTTTGCAGAGAAAAAAAATTGATGCTAATAAAATGCGAGATTGACCAACACCAACACACCTAATTAGGCCCTCATTTTGATTACCGGAGCAAATATAATCCAGTGCCAGCTATTTTGGACCAAAGGATTGGCTGGCTGCAAAATAATGCCAGATCCCACTCATGGGCTGATTATTCGACAATGGCCGGTCGCGACGTGTGGCGCCCGTTGTCGATCGGAGGAGACGAATAAGTGGACGCAGGCAACGCGGCCAGCTACATCCTTCCAAACAAACATTGGATGCGTGGTGAATAGCATGGCAGCGGCTGCCGCCTGGGAGAGGACTAGCAGGGGCGGCGAGCGGTGGAGCCTGGCTGGCGCGACGGCGCTGGTCACGGGCGGCAGCAAGGGGATCGGGCACGCGATCGTGGAGGAGCTGGCAGGGTTCGGGGTGCGGGTCCACACGTGCTCACGCAGCGCGGCGGACCTGGAGGAGTGCCGCCGGTGTTGGGCCGAGAAAGGGCTGGGCGTCACCATCTCCGTCTGCGACGTCGCCGTTCGTGCCGACCGGGAGCGGCTCATGGACACGGTGAAGGCGACCTTCGACGGCAAGCTCGACATCCTGGTAATACTAGTAATCTATACCTCTCGTCGTCCGTCCATGTCGACAAATCGCGTCGACGGCGTGCGCGCGTACGTGCGCAGGTGAACAACGCGGGGCTGCTCTTCTTCAAGCCGGCGACGGAGTGCACGGCGGAGGACTACGCGCGGATGATGGCGACCAACCTGGAGTCGTGCTTCCACCTCAGCCAGCTCGCGCACCCACTGCTCCGCAACGCCTCCCTCGCCGTCGGCGGAAGCGTCGTCCACATCTCCTCCATCGCCAGCTTCGTCGCCTTCCCATGGGAAGCGCTCTACTCCACGGCCAAAGGTTGTAGCAGTACATGACATCATTTGGGAAAGGAAAAGATCGAATTAGCAGTACATGACGTCTTTTGTGTCCACGCAGGAGGACTGAACCAGCTGACGAGGAGCCTGGCTGCCGAATGGGCGCGCGACAGCATCCGTGTCAACTGCGTCGCGCCGGGCGTCATCATGACTGACATGGTTAAGGAGGTAAGTATATTAATTTCTATTAGCTAAATCCTCAAATCTGCAAAATATAATGCTATTTATTTTGATTTGTGACAGCATTATATTTGTGGACTAGTAAAATCTGTGAAAGTATATATATACTACAAAATATATTATACATTATAATATAACAACATACATGCAGGTACCGGCGGGGGCGCTGGAGCAGGAGCTGTCACGGATCCCGATGCGGCGTGCCGGCGAGCCGGCGGAGGTGGCGTCCCTGGTGTCCTTCCTGTGCATGCCGGCGGCGTCCTACGTCACCGGGCAAGTCATCTGCATCGACGGCGGCCGGACCATCAGTGCCTGATCCATGCCGGCCGCCCGCCGGCCGGAGAAGATTCTATCAATGTGGGGCCAAGTGCTTTCTTGCTCCGGCTGGCGTTTAATTTGTTTGGGAATTAATTGGGATTGGGTACAAAACATGACCGTCTCAAATTTGCGTTGTAACATTTATTCAGCATACATACAGTAGTTGAGTTATTCGTTCAACAGCTCCGAAGAATTTTCACCACAACGCATCATCGAAATCTTTAGGTTCACTGCATCGACGACGGCCGGACCATTAGTGCCTGATCGACGACGGCCGGCGAAGAATAAATTGCATTATTGGTCCGGAAGTGCGGAACTGATAGAGACGGGTTTCTAAGTTTGTTTTCGTTCTCGGGTCACCGTCAAGGCGGCGTCAGCAATAATTCACCTTGACAGTTTTATCTGTTGGAAACTTGGAACTTACAGAAATGTGCCAAACTGCTTCATTACTCTGCTTCATTACTTTGCGTTAGGTTGAAAACATGATCGTGTCAGGTTGTAGGCAGTTACAGTAGATTGCTTGCAGTGCTTTTGGGCCGTAAACGAGCGTTGGCCTTCTGCTTACTACGTGGGCCGTAACACTGTGCCGGCTTATAGCTTAACCGCACAGTCCATTTAAGCACATATTGCTTTTCTTTATAATGTGGACGCGGGGGGTTTTTTTTTTTTTTGAGTGGAAAATGTGGACGCGTGGTGGGGCACCCAGTTTTGGCCCGGATCCCAACCACAGCCCACAGGGCTATAAATTAGTTTATTTATTGAGAAATTTTACGGCGCTTGAAAAAATGAGAGCCATCCGTTGGGCTAAATCGGATGGTTAAGAAATAGGAGGAACCTAATAAGAGGAACTTAGATCTAAAATTTAGTGGACCTTGAACCAGCTCTAATTAAATCGTGGTGGGTAAAATGGCACTCTTCTTCACGATCGTCGGCAACGTGGGCATCTTCATTGGGTTAATTTGAACGGTGCCATTACAATTCTACGAGTTTGGAGAAATACCATTATTATTTTTGATATTAGAAACGTACCATTATAATTTCAAAAGTCTTTGAAATATACCACTATTTACCATTTCGACTCATTTATCCGAATGTTTAGACCAAATTGCCCTCTTCTTCCTCCTTTCTCCCTCTTCCATTTGGGACGAGCACGTGTAGCAGTACATGACATCATTTGGGAAAGAAAAAAAGAATTACAGTTTTGGAATTCAAAAGAAAATTTCCATATACTTTTGCAGAAGGACTGAACCAGCTGACGAGGAGCCTGGCTGCCGAATGGGCGCGCGACAGGATCCGTGTCAACTGCGTCGCGCCGGGAGTGATCATGACAGACATGGTTAAGGAGGTTAGTATAATGCTATTCATTTTGATTTGTGGCATCATTACATTTGTGGACTAGTAAAATCTTTGAATTGTGAAAGTATACTACAAAATATATTATGCAAAATATAATATAACAGCATACATGAAGGTCCCGGCTGGGGGCGCTGGAGCAAGAGCTGTCACGGATCCCGATGCGACGTGCCGGTGAGCCGGCGGAGGTGGCGTCCCTGGTGACCTTCCTGTGCATGGCGGCGGCGTCCTACGTGACCGGGCAAGTCATCTGCATCGACGGCGGCCGGACCATCAGTGCCTGATCCATGCCGTCCGCCGCCGGCCAGAGAAGATTCCATCAATGTGGGGCCAACTGCTTTCTTGCTCCGGCTGGCGTCTAATTTGTTTGGGAATTAATTGGGATTGGGTACAAAACATGACCGTCTCAAATTTGCGCTGTAACAGTAATAAAAAAAAGCTGAAAACAGTTGAACATATCACATCGCGAGTCTGAAGGAGACCGACATGAATAGAGACAGCTGAAAACAGGCAGTGTTTTTTGGGCACAACATGAGCGTTGGGCCTCCGCTAAACATATGGGCCGTGATTCTGCGCGGCCGTTTTCTCGCATGCTTCTGCTTCAGGGGCATAGAGCCGGTTAGTGTTTGGGATTTGGAGCAACTTTAAGAGCCTCTTAATACCTTTTGAAATTGGTACGAGTAGATATGTTGGTAATAAAATACTCTTCAACAGTTTCTTTAATTATGTTTCAAATATAGTCGTCCTCTATTTAGTATTTTTCACTATTTAAAGATGGAGAGTGAGGCTATCTCTCTAGAGTACGAACAAGATATAGAGTCACAGTTGGGTTGACAAAAAATAAAGAGTAGTTTTTATTCAAATGGCTATCCAACTGATGATTCAGAGAATGAGTTTAAAAAACTCTCTTGAAAATGCTCTTAGGTTTTCAAAATTTTTTGGGTTCTGTCTATTTAGGACTTCGGGACAATACATGTGGGAAATTTCAAATTTTATCTTAGGGCTTCTACTTCTGCCTCAATTTTTATGATTCTTTTTTCTAGCAAATTAGACAGTATAAATGAACACACTTAGGTCCTGGTCTAAAGTTTAGTCATAAACATTAGACCACATTTAGCTCTTGTGGTCCCAAATAGGAGATATAAAGTGTTGTCTAAAGTTTAGCTAATCTCACAAAAACTTCAGACCGTATAAGTAACTAAAGTGGTGTAAAGTTTTAGCTCTTTAACTTTATCCAACTAAACTTTAGATTATTGGATCCAAACAAGACATTATATACAAGCACAAATACACGCCATTCCCCCCTCCGCCACAAGAGCACCTTAAAAAAAATAGAGCCGACAGATCTCGAAAATTTTAGAACAAATCTATATAAATTTGGACACACTTGTCAACTGATAATAGCAATAAGTGGACTAAACACGCTTATTGTGGTCCACTTATTCTTAAGTTGATGTCAAACACAAAAGATCACCTCAATAGCACTGTTGTAGTATCAGTTGGTGTTTAGTCCGGCTCAGATTATTTGTCACTGCAATGGCAAAATAAGCTCAAGTCATTAGTACTATATTTGTCACTCGCACCATTGTATTACTAGTTGACGTTGAACACACAACATACACGACAACAGAGGATGTGTGGGGGTATAACCCCCGATACCCACAGGGCTTCACATGGGCTGAGCCGCTAGCTAGGGGAGGCCCAGCCCGAGAGACCATGCAGGGCTGCGTCGCCAGTCGAGGACCAGCATGCAAGACGACGCCGCGTGAGATATGGTGTAAGTTAGCGTGCCTCGTAAGACTGCGTGAAGATCCTCGAAGATCTAGGAAATCTGCTCGGATATGCTAGATTACCGTGATATATGTAACTTCCTATCTTGTAAACCGATCAGGATAGAAACAACCGATCTGTAACCCTACCCCGCAGGCTATATAAGGCGGGTAGGGACCCCTCTTGTTTTCATCAAGCCACCGGCCCGAACCTGTCTAATCGCTATCTCTCGCGTTCTGTGTCACCATCCGATTCCCTCACGCGCACCTCCACCGATTCATCTACTACCGTGGGCATACCACTCGGTAGACTGCCGACTAGATTTTATCGATAATAGCGCGCCAGGTAGGGGGTGTGCGTGCTGAATTCATGGCCAACCAGATGGTTACCTTTTCGAGCTCCATGGTCCTTCCCGAGCCGGGCCAAATCTTCACGATCGGATCCTTGACTTGGGTCGTCGGCCCTGACGGCAACGGGAGGATCATGGAGGCGGCGCAGGATCACCCTGCACCGACCGCGTCGACACCTGCAACGACATCTCCGATCCCGGCGCCCTTTCGCTGCGTTAGGAGATCTATCGGAAGTGACAATTTGATCACATCCATTGATCGGGTCACTGACCGCCTAGCGGAATGTCAACTCCTCGTAGATTCGGTCCTACACTAATCCAGAGCGGGTGACGATTTTCCTGCACTCCAAGATCACCAAGCTGCTACGACCGAGCGACTTGCTCGTCCACACCGTTTGAGGCGACCAGATTTCGATCTGGTAATGATGGCTACTCCAGAGGGGTGCACGACGCGACGCCGACCACTTCCCGCTACCGGCCTACGTTTGGCTGACTACGAGGCCCTGACGGAGAACCCGCCGAGGCCCTATCCTTTTGGGCTGGAGGGTGTGGGATCTGCATACCAGCACGCCGTCCACCAAATCTTCGTCGACAACGTTGAGTGTGACCATGCCACCGATCTCTACATGATCGACCCAACTGACTCCGGTCAGCCTGCGCCCGTGGTCAACCTGGTGGCTATTCGCCAGCTTTCGGGTGATTTCGATCTTCCAACTGAGTCTCTCCACAACATTCAGGATGAGACCCGTAACGATTATTCCGAGGGCTCAACTCAGATTGTGCCGAGCTACCCTGCTTTCCCTTCGGGGTTCGGGGGCATGAGTTTCCACGTCAGCCACGACAGCGTCACCAAGTACGGCAAAACCGTTGAAGAGCGCGAAGCTTGTCTAGCGAAGAATGCCGATCGCCAATGTCGCTAAGATGCAGAAGTAGCCCAAGCGCCCGACGAGGATGGTCACTGCCTGCCCCGCCATCAACGTAATCTAGAAGAAGCGTTGACACTCGGCAAACTCGCGACCTTATAAACTCGCCCGGCCGCCACCCCTCCCTCCCACGGGCCTCCCCTCCCGCTCCCGGTGCCGCCGCCCCCTCCCCTCCCTCCATCTCCCGCCGGAGCCCCCTCCCTCTCCCACCGGCGCCGCCCCCTCCCTTCCCTCTCCCCGCGCCGCCCCCTCCCTCCCTCTCCCGGTGCCAGATCCGGTCTGCTCCAGCGGCCTGCTACCTTCTCTCTCTATCTATTCGTGTTCGTCGTCTCTTCCCCGCGGGGGCTCGTGCTGACGGTGCTTCGCTCTGTTCCCGCAAGGGATCCACTGTACCCGGAGCTCTAGCGCGCCTACACCGGCCCGCTCATCACCGTCCCCCAGGTGCACATCGAGCAGGTACATCTCCTCCTCCTCCCCAGCTCTTGCTCTGCCCCCCCTAGCGCTTTAGCTTGCTCCCCCTACTCTGGGCGCTAATTTTGTGTGCTGGGGGCTCTCCGGTGGAGGCATCCATGAACTAGGTCACCGAGAACCAGGTGCACCTCT